GTACCGGGCGCACCGCTCCGTCCTGGCCGCCGCCACCGAGTACTTCACTCCGCTGCTCTCGGGCGGCTTCGCGGAGTCGCTCTCGGGCCGCGTGGAGCTGCAGAAGTGGAGCTCGGAGGGCGGCCCCGACCCCGACACGGTGGAGGCCGTCGTCGGCTTCATGTACACCGGCACCATCCGCGTCAGCCCCGGCAACGTGCACGAGGTGCTGGAGATGGCCGACAGGTGAGCGGGGCCCGGGGCGGGGGATTCGCGGGTGAAAAGGACTCTGCAGCTCGAATGGAGCTGTAAACCAGGGATGTTTACTCCGGCGCCGAGGTGCAAGGGGATCTCCGCAAAGCTCGCACACCCCCCCGCACGTTTTACCAAAAATTTACCGAGTGTGGAAATCCCTGTGCATTGGGTTACCCAGCACAAACATACACGTGCGAGCAGGGCTGGGTTGGTCCGAAAAGCCGATGTCAGCAGTTGATGTTAGCTTTGCACCTGCCCATTGCCCCCCGGGGGGCGTCTTCGGGGGTCTTTGGGAGGAAGACTCGGAGTCTTTCTCACTTTTTTTTTTTCCAGAGCATGCGCGGATTCCCTTGGCCGATTTCGAGAATAACAAGAGTGGTTTTCAGGCGGTTTTCTTTCTATCTTATCTAAAGAGAACCAACAGAACTTCTACCATTCGTACGGGGCTATCTTTACTCATTAGCAAAATTCCAGCTAGATAGAGCCATCTGGTACTCAAGGCCAAAAGTATAATGTTTTCCTGAACATTGTGATCCTTTGGTACATTTTCACAGCGAACTGCTTTGTTTTGATGAACACAGCAGTCCTTGGTAAAATTCCACAGAACAGTCTGGGCGAGCAGGGTCCTTAGCAATATTTTAAAAAATACTATAACTTGCTATAAGTAAGTAAATAAGTTGCTAAGCAGTTTTCTATAAGTAAATAAATCTCAAAACAAGTAATCATTTCTCTGTATCAGGGGCTGGCCGCAGCCTGGCGGGCGGCAGCCGGGCTGCATGTCACCCCTGTTCGTTTGTCCTGCAGGTTTCTGCTGACCCGGTTAAAAGAGTTCTGCGGGGAGTTTCTGAAGAAGAAACTCAACCTCTCCAACTGCGTTGCGGTTCACAGCTTAGCGCACATGTATTCCCTGAATCCGCTGGCCCTCAAAGCTCAGGATATGATCAGGAGAAACTTCCACAAAGTTATCCAAGATGAGGAGTTCTACACTTTGCCCTTTCATCTCATCAGAGACTGGCTCTCCGACTCAGAGATCACGGTGGACTCAGAAGAAATCCTCTTTGAGACTGTTTTAAAGTGGGTTCAGAAAAATCCTGATGAAAGGGAGAGGTACTTTGAAGATCTCTTTAAACTGCTTAGGTTGTCTCAGATGAAACCCACTTACCTTACTCGCCACGTCAAATCTGAAAGGCTGGTATCGAGCAACAAAACCTGTGTTAAACTGGTGTCTGAAGCCGTGGAGAGTCACGCCTTGCGGTCTGAGAACCTCCAGTCTGGTAATCTACAACATTCCGCTTGTCCCGCAGCGTTGCTGCCACGTTTTGGACAAAACATGGATGTCATTATGGTGATCGGGGGTGTATCGGAGGGAGGAGACTACCTGAGTGAGTGCGTGGGGTATTTCATCGATGAAGACAGGTGGGTAAACCTGCCCCACATCCACAATCACCTCGACGGGCATGCTGTGGCCGTGACAGAGTCTTACGTTTATGTGGCTGGCTCCATGGAACCAGGCTTTGCCAAGACCGTAGAAAGGTACAATCCAAACAGGAATATCTGGGAGCAAGTCTCAAATCTGATAACCAGAAAGCATTCGTTTGGCCTTACCGAAGTTAAAGGAAACTTGTACAGTATCGGTGGACATGGCAATTTCAGTCCTGGCTTCAAAGACGTGGCCGTTTACAATCCTGAGCAAGACAAATGGCTTAACCTGGAGTCGGCACCAAAGATTCTCCGTGATGTCAAGGCTGTTTCTGTGGAAGACCGGTTCGTTTACGTGGCTGCTCGTACCCCGGTTGACAGCAACAGTGAAGACGGATTGAGGGCGGTTATTATCAGATACGATGCTGAAACCAGGCAGTGGCAGGATGTGGACTCTCTGCCACTCGTTGATAATTACTGCTCTTTTCAGATGTCTGTCGCTAACACAAACTTTTACCATACAGCATCGTGCTGCCCCAAGAGTTACCCTATAGATAATGAGGAAGCCAAGATAAAGATCTCTGGCAGGGCCTCAGATGAAATACTTGAAAGCTTACCCCCAGAGGTTCTTAGCATAGAAGGAGCAGCTATTTGTTATTATAAAGATGATGTTTTTATCATTGGGGGGTGGAAAAACAGCGACGATATCGACAAGCAGTACAGGAAGGAGGCCTATCGGTACTGCGCTGAGAGGAAGCGCTGGATGCTTCTGCCTCCTATGCCTCAGCCTCGCTGCAGAGCGACAGCCTGCCACGTGAGAATTCCCTTCAGGTGCTTGCAGGGAACACAAAGATACCCCATGCCACAAAATTTGATGTGGCAAAAAGATAGAATAAGGCAGATGCAGGAAAGGCAGATGCAGGAAATGCACCGGCACACCCTCAGCTTGCGGAGAATGCCACGCTCGCAGATCGAGTGCTAGCTTCTGGAGCGTCCCTCCTGATGAGTCTAGGAAATACCGTGCTAAACCATTTTGTTAGGCTTGATGTGTCTTTATAAGACACGAGGGGGTTGATTGGATTTGATGCGTAAACCCGGCATCTTACGGTGGGAATTAAGAAGCTCAGAAATTGCGGGTGGATGGGAATTGAGAAGCTGTGTGAATCCAACAGTATTACTTAATGGTGCCCAGGGAGTAACTGTGGCCTGTAACGGGCTGTGAAATATCTCTGGGAGCATTAAGTCTGTTATTTCTCTCTTCAGATCTTTGTTTTCAAGGATTTCTGTAGAGTTAATCTCTAACAGTTCTATTTTTAAGATCAAAGATGTCTATCTTAATAATTTAGTGGTTACATTTGTGTGTGCTTTGAAAGCACCTGGTTTATTTGCACTTACATACTGACATTCCTTTGATTCTTTCCTTCTCAGTGATTAAACTTCACACATATTTGCTGTTAGTGTACTTAGCTTTCCCGAGTTGGAGGCAAGTGCAATAGTTATATACGAAAACAAAAGCACAATCGTTCTTTATAAAATTACTTCAGGATGTTTCTACGTCTATTAAATATTTTGTATCTGCGCGTTGCAGAGAGGCTGCAGAGTTTGTTTGTAAATGGATGGTAGGTAGAACACTAAGACACTTGCTAAAACAGAGAACTTGAGGCAGTAGATTTGTTTTTTTCAAGTGTCCCCGAACATGCTTTGAGTTTGTCTTTGACGACTTTGTTAGAAACTTGGGCCAACGACCAGCTGGGCGAAAGGAGTGAAAACTGGTGAAGCAGCCGCTCGCCCCTCTGTGGGGATGAGTGAGAATGAGATTATTTCAGAGTCATGGATTAAAACCTGAGCTACCTGTAGATCCTTTCTCAAATGTTACGCACGTTTTAATTCCAGCTGCAAAGTGATTAGAAGAGCCCCCCGGAGCCTGTCTCCAGGTGGGTTCCTCCTGAAGTGGGAGACTTGGGCTTTTAGTCTCCAAATATCTGAATTTCCCCGCTTACTGTGGCAGTAAATTTGAGCTGATTTAGATACCTTTTGGCATTTTGAGGTGGTTTTACATAACCCAGTGCCCTGGCTGGCTCTGGTTTGTGCTCCCGAGTGCCCTTCTTACCTCCTTTTCGTCCCCATCCTTCCCTTCCTCCAGGTTTTCACATGCAGCCTAACTCGGGGTCTTAGGGAGGGGAAAGGGAGAAGTAACCAGGGTGTTCCAGGGTTTGTGCAGACAAACTGTGCTGGAGGATCTGTTTGCTGTCTTTGGTTCTTCTGATGATTTGCTGGTGGTTTTGATCTGGGCGACTTCTTTGCAAAAGAATTTCTAAACAGTTTGGGTTTCTTTTTTGTTTTGTTTTCTAATTGTTTAGCTTTCTGAGCTGATACTTCTCATTTTCCAATTCAGCAGGCAACCTAGATCATGTCTGAAACACTGGGTAAGTCTTTCAACCACACAGTGTGTGAAGGTTTCTCTGACATTTGCATCCCTTAATGCTCCTCTTTGCACTTCACTTGCCACTTCTGATATCAGTAACTTGTCCTTTTGTCATGCAGTAATCTAGCCTTGTTTAAAAAAACCACCTTGAAAATCTTAACAGTCTAGTCTCAATTTACTCATCTGTGATAACCGTGTGGTATTTTATTTGCCTGCTGGATTGCTATGCGAGGGCAGATTAAATTGTCCGATGATGACGGCCTAACGCAAGAGAGGGAGGAGGTGAGGCTCAGGTCTGAGGCTGCCGTTACCAAATCCTCTCCTGCAGGCCGGTGCGCGAGGGGTGAATCGGTGGAGTTTGCCCCATGATTTGGCTGGAGTAGTTTAAGAACTAAATTACTGCCCCCGCAGCAGGGTTTGTGAACCCAGGTCTGAAAATGCCTCCCAGCTGTGGTACCACATCACTGATGCCACTTCAGCGGGTGGGGGCTGATTTTGAGCTACTTCACCCCACTTTGCCCAGAAGCAGCCGAGGTGGTTTGACGTACCCCAACCCTCTGGCTTTGCTGTGGGGATTTAACGAGCACTGAAGGTAGCTCTGCCCAAGTCCCCTCGTAGTCTGTCAGCAAATCGGGACAATTTGTCGGGAGAAATACCACGATTATTATTTTGGTTGGAAAACAAGCTAAATAGTTGAATGTGTGGCAGCATGCTGCAGAGTTGGATGCAAAACCAAAACTTCTTGCAGTCTTTTTCTAAGCAGAAGTGATATTGCACTTAGGATGAGAACTTTGGGCTGACATACAGGCTGTGTAGCTTACTAAAGACATTCCACTCACAGACGGCGTCAGAACAGCTCAGTGCCTGGGGAGCTGACGCGTGGACGGCAGCCAGGCCTGCGGGTGCACGGGGAGGGAGCAGCAGCCGCTTGGCTCTCTCTCTGGCTGCACTCGTTCTATGGAATTTTTAAGCAGTTGGGGTATTTTTTTTTTTTTGAGCCTTGACTTTAAGTGGACCAATTGCATTGCACGTGTTTTTTAACTGATGAGTCTTAACTATCCGTTGTATCACATGTAGGTGTTGGAAGAACTGTGTTACCGACCTTGGCTGTAATTTAGCCTGCTGCCCTGTGAGTCGCTAACAGATTCCTTGTGGCCCTTGGCTGCTGTAGCTTGCTGGGTGTTTATAAAATGACCTTATAAACCAAACCCTGGGAATTCCTTCAGTGTGTTTATAGCGGCGAGTTCAACGTCAGGAGGATCCCAGTGTGTGTTCCGTGTTAGAAGGCTGACTTGGAGCCTTCCTAATGTGCAAGAACAAAGATCAGGGTGGTCTTTCCTCCTCCTAGTGACAGTTGTACCTCTGTACCGAGTACGTGCCACAAAATGCATGTTTCATGTCCCGTCTTTCTGCTCGGAGTATTAGTGGAGTAGGACACGTCCTGCCTAGCACCCAGCGGTCACTGTAGTGGTTTCTAGGTGCCGTATGTGTACATAAATACTTTCTGACTACCTGAGAGCTCTGTCCATACGCTGGGTTTGTATTTTTAATAAGACTCTTACAGTAGGATCCCACTCCAGAAACAAAGACGTGCCGGCTCTTTAGCGTGCGTTATGAGTAACTGTGCCAAGCGTTCTGCTGTGCTATTTCGATATGATTTTTCTCCATTACAGCAAATGTTAAAATCTGAACTATTGGCTCAACTTGGGTGTCGCAGAACAGACTGGTCGCTACTGGCAAACTGAGTCACATAGAACTGCAACTTTTTAGGTTCTGTTTAACACAACCTTGTAATAGTATGTTGTAATATTCAGTGGGCTTTAGCAAGCTTAAAATAAGTGGTTTATGGCTTAGGTTTATTTTTAGCGATGTCCACGTTCTGTTAGGGTATAAATCATATCTCTGATTTGACAGTCCTGAGTGGAAGTCTGATAGAACAGGGGCTCCTGAGGATCTAATCCTATTACTAATACGAATGTGAAGTGTGGGACTAACGTGATGTTTGAAGACCATTAAGAGTCAGATGCTCCTCACAGGTCCATGGCCCCGTGGGTCGCAGCGGCCGGGCTCTCCTGGCCCCGTTAACTCCAGCAGGTTGCTCGGGGCAGCAGCACTCCTGTACTTAGTGCCAGTCAGGTAAAGTACGACGCGTGGATAGGCCGTTGGGAACAAACCCTCCTGTCATGTTCTTTACCTTAAATACACTCTACTGAAGTTTGTTGTAATAAGTGAATTAACGAAAATAAACCTTTTATTTCTCTAGCATTCTGTTGAACCTTTTATTTCTACAGTTGCTCTAGGCTGTGGCCAACACACACGTTTTCTGGTGCCACAGAATGAAAGTTGGAAGTACTGCTGCTTCTTTTGGCCTGTATCGGTTGTTTTTATTTTGGGAGAAACAGCTCAGGCTGCCCTGGCTCAGCCGGCTGCTTGCCCTGGGGGTTTCCTCGCGGGACAGCGTAGTCCCGGGCGTTGCGCAGGCCCGGCACCACGCAGCAGCTCAGGGCGCTGCGGTCCGTGCCCATGTCCTGGACGTCGCGCCACTCGTTGGCGTTCGCATCAAAGCACTCGACGTTGAAAGTTGTCGTAAAGCCGTTGTAGCCGCCGACCGCGAACAAAAGATCATCCACGACCGCGATGCCGAAGTTGCTGCGGGGACTGAACATGGTGGGGATCTCCTGCCAGGTGCCGGTCGTAGGGTCGTAGGTCTCGGCGCTGCGGAGCCGGCGGGTACCGTCACATCCTCCCACCTGCGGGTGCCAAAGGTGCAGAGTTGGGGTGGCCCCCACAAACACACCAGCTTCCTTCAAGGCTTGATTCTTTGCGACAGCAGTTTCGGAAGCCTGGTTGGCACAGGCTCCTGCATGGCCAAACTGCACCTACAAATCAGAGAGAGCGAGCAGTGAGGAATACAAGTTGTTTACCTGCAGAGAGTAAAACAGTAAAGAACTGCCTAGGGAAGTGGTGACAGAGGAACAGCAGATCTGCCTCCCTTCTGGGGCTAACAGAACTCCTGGTGGGAACCACAGTCAGCACTGCGATATGCAGAGCCTTTTCTGACCTGGAATCACTCCAGGCTCATCCTCCCTAAATTCCTCCCTCTCCAGAGCTGCTTAACACGCATCTTTTCCGTTCCCACTGCAGGAGCAGGTGGCTATTACGGTCTGTTGCTTTCCCTGGGATCTGTGGGCTCCCTTTACAGCACAGAGAATCCCTTGGAATCTCCAGTGGCAGACTACAGAAGCACAAAAAGCTTTTTATCATTTGTAGTTAGTAACTTCTGCATGTTAAGTTGCTGCTGGCAATTCTGGAAGGTTTAGGCACAGTAAGAAAAGTTGGGGTTTTTTTATTCCTGTTGTAATACATTTTTATTTTAGGCATTTGCCTCCGTTTTTGCACATACCTCTGAAGAGAACATGGTGGCACAAGTCCCAATACACCAGCACACCACCGGCTTGGTGATGCGACCTTCTTTAATACCTCTGCAGATCTTATACTCCTCTGTGCCTCCAATCTGCAGAAAGAAAGAGCCGAGTTGGTTCAAAACTGGACTTTTGTAGAAACCAGATCAAGACGGGCACATGGAAGCATCACTTGGATTTTTGCCCCCCCTTTTTCACTGAATAACAGCTGAAGTCTCAGAACAAAGCCTCCTTTTTTATTTTTAAAGTAGAGGAGACTGCTTGTCTGGGATACATTCAGTTTCTTCTGATTAAAGAAGCATGAAATAAAAACTTGGATATTCAAGAACAGTCTGAATAGCTGCCACTTATCTGTAGCTGTTATTTAGCATCCTTGCAGCCAAGGCCAGATGCTCCCAAAACAAAACACGTGGGTATTTCTCAGATAGGAGTGAACTGGTGTCACTCACCTCTCCAAGCACTACAATCATTTTCACTCCTGGAGTATCCTCGTAACGCAAGACGTGATCCATAAAAGTTGATCCAGGGTATCTGGGTAGAATACAGGGAAAATGGTAGAAGTTAAATCTGTTTCATAAACTTTTCTGAGAGAAGGAAAATTAACAGCCAAATTACCAACAATTCTTCC